GGGTATTATTTAAAAGACAAGCCATAGTTACGTGGGTTAGAGTTCAGATCTCTTTACTTTCCTTGGCCCTAAATGGCTCACTAAAAAAGGCAGTCCTCTGCTTTAAATGAATACACGTCTTCCCGTCGTCATCGCTGCGGCATTCCGCGACGTGGAGGCACCACTGCTAACTTTTATTGGCCAAACTCAAGCCTTAAATCTGAAAGTCAGGTGTTGAGAGGGCAAGTCTTTGCACATCTCCCCACTGTCATTATGTGTGGCTTCACTTTCTGGAGCGTGTTCTTACTTCCTGAGTGCAACCAATACAAATCGCATCACCTCCCACACATCCCGAAGGATTATTTAAGGGAGACAAAAGGCTTTAGAACATGGAGTTCCACCCCTGATGGTGTTGCTCAGGTAAATGTAAGTGACATCATCTTGCTGTTGCCCTGGGGCCTCCTGCTTGGGTTACAAAGAAACAGGAAGACACTCTCACACCATCCAGTGCCTCCCAGCAGCTCGGCTGCACTGCCTCCCCTCCAAGCCCTGCATTCGACTGCACCCACCCACTTCACCATCTGCACACCCCGTGACCCTCACAGACTTCATCATTGAACCCTGGGTACCTTCAAGGTGCCAAGTGTTGCCAACTCTCAGAGCCCTGGAGGACCTGGCTTGTCAACCCTGGGGTTTATTCTGTGGAAATCATTCATTTCTTACTGGGGACCTCTAGTTCCCAAGTACGAAGTGGGAACCATTTTAGCCAGGATTAGAAGCTTACCCAGAGGACAACATTTAGATGTAAGGTTAAATGCTGAGATGCAAAAAGGACCCACGAAAGAATTAGGTGCTAAATACACATACAATTAAATGGAGTACTTTGCCAAATGAAAGTAACTGTGTTTCTTTGCAATAACTTGGAAATGCATACCTGGAGGCAACAAAATGGAAGCACAGGAAGATGAAAATATATGCTAAGTTGGAAGATTCATGTTTACAAGGCCAAAGACACCGTGGAAGGAAATTTACATTTCAAGAATCTTACACCTCTCAGCAAGAAAATCGGACTTAGGAAACAGTTTCATGTAAAATCTCTATGCAAGTCAGAAGCCCTTACTGATTTTTTTTTTACCTTTTTCTTTGTTTTTTGAGGGGAGGTAATTAGATTGACTGATTTTTAATATTTAACAGAGGTAGTGGGGATCGAACCCAGGACCTCGTGCATGCTAAGCATGTGCTCTACCACTGAGCTATACCCTCCCCCACCAGAAGCTCTTAATGATTTGAAAAAAAATAATAAGTTTTGGAAGGAGAGGCTAAAAGGAAGCTGAATAGGTTAACTTGGTGGTTTCCCTTTCCTCTCCTGATGCTGGAGTTCTGACGTTAGCTACGCCGCCTCCACAGGGCTTGTTTTATATGTACATCTGCATTTTATCTGTGCATATTTTATTTTTTTCAGGCTTTTATTAGTATTTGGCTTCTATAGACTTTGAAATAAATTCCTAGACATAATCTCACTTTCAAACATGAATGTTATCTGAAAGTTACAATTTCATTTCTGCGCCCATCCGCCCAG